GATGTGTCCTCGAGTGATAGACACGGCGTGTGCATGAGCAATAGAGGCGTGACACAGCAACAGCATGAGACAAGTTCGCTAAAGCATTTCTGAGAGGTGTCCCCTGGCCTGCATGTCAATACTTCCGCCCTATTTCACATGTAATGCCTACCGCTCGTTTTTGGTATTGATGTTCTTCAAAAAAACGAAAACTGACGAGAAGAAATGAAGTGTAATAGAAGGCGCGAGAGTATTTATAAAAATAAAACTGATTGACTATAGTACGAGTGATTCAATTGACGAGAAGTAAAAAGGGAAACTATTTAACAAAGGTCGTGACTTGTTCAAAGAAAGAAAATATATGCTCGTGCGATTTTGAGCGGCGTCGTGTTCTGACTTGTTCGAGCGACGTCGTATCTGTTGCTTGCTGGTCGTGGTTTACTCTTGGCGCATCAGTGGTGCACTTCTTGTGGACGCGAATCACCTCCGGCGTCTCCTTTAACTTTTTGGTGACAGCGTACGCGGCAGAACTTATGAAAGGATGGGAGTCATTTGATGCCCTACAAGTACAGGCGAATTCGTGAATCTATTGCACGTGGGTTGCTCATCTCCTCTCTTTCCTGTGTTACCTTTTTAAGTCGCGTGTATTTTCATCTTCGTTCTATTCAAGTCGCCTCCTGTACAGTACAAATAGCGCGTTGATTTCACGTGGTTTAGCACAGTTGGCGTAGTGTTTATATTTTTCTCAAGGGTTGGCCAGTGTAAGTAAGGAAGAGTAATTAGAAATAAGTAAAAGCAGGTAGAAGTAAGTAACAGTGAGTAGAAGTAAGTCAAAGTAAGTAACAGTGAGTAGAAGTAAGTCAAAGTAAGTAGGAGTAAGTCAAAGTAAGTAGAAGTAAGTCAAAGTGAGTCAAAGTAAGTAGAAGTAAGTGAAAGCAAGTAGAAGTAAGTGAAAGCAAGTCCCGAAGAAGAAAAATGACGCTGGAACATTTTGAGTATAGGACTTGGCAAGAAATTTTGAAACTAGAGCGCAAGTCTAGCGCGGTAGCTTCGATGCTTGCTGAACGAGCTACCGCGATAAGCCAGGTGTTGCGCGACGCCATGGCGCTCGAAATGGAGGAACCCTCCGCAGCTCCTATCGGAGTTGTGGCAGGGTTCCTCGAGGAGGAGGCGGAGTCTCTCCGGCAGAAGTTGCGTGATCTTCAGGTGGAGAGAAGCCGCCTCCTCCAACTTCTCGATCGTGCCCGCTCGGGTGAGGTAGTTTGTTTCCTTGAATGCGTAGGATGTTAGGCGCGATCGTTTGTCACATTCAAAGTAGGCACTCCCGCGGAAGTGCTTCGTGAAGGTTTTCGAGTAAAACCTTCGATAAGTCTTAGTCTTGCAAGTATTTGGATATATGGGCAAACACTAGAGATCAGAAATCAATTTAAGCCCCAGAGCAGACCAAGACAGAAAGAGTCTTAGGCAAACACTAGAGATCAGAAGTCAAGCGGTAAGCCACAGAGCAGACCAAGAGAAGAAGAGTTTTAGGGAAACACTAGAGACCAGAAATCAAGCTTTAAGCCACAGAGCAGATCAAGAGAAGAAG